AAGAGGAGAGAGAATGACAGCCCATGCCGAGGATCGTCCTCCTCTCTTCTCTCCCATCAGAAGTGCTAATCCAGCCAGCGGAGGTGCAGACCACCACTCACACCTGCCTGCTTCTCTCCATCTTGTTAGGGGCCAGATGGGAGAGAAAGTGACTTCCTGCTGTACTTCCACCACAGGGCTCGTTCCCTCACATTAATACCTTTACTGCTCGGCTCCATTTGTTACACACACTCAAGACACACACTCAGGGGGAGCCTGGGGCTGTGAATGATGGCCATATGCAGAACTCTGCTCATCTATAACCCCCTGTGGCTGGAACAAAGTACAGTAGACTCCTTGAGTGTTGAAACCAAGGTTAACATTTGGAGGTGGTGCAGTGCGATTTGGTGGCTACGCGTAGAAGTCCGTCGTCTGGGTCCATAAAGGTTAGTGAAGTGGGTTTATAGGAAGAAGGTCACTGGTTTAAATTTAAATTTGTGAGTGTCTGTGTGTGTAGAACTCTGGCAGGGAAGGTGAACGAGTAACTCGCCCACTGTGAGACGCCATGTGACCGCACTGCAGCCAACAGCAGCCAGCGGTCACTGCACAGCTCCCGGGTGCGTAAGTGTGTTTAATATGTGAACGTGAAACAAAGCAGATCTGGAAAAGCGTGCATGCTCAGCAGTACTCTCCCCCCTGACATAAAGAGGTAAAAAAACAAGATGGGAGCTGATGGGAAGATCAAAGAAGAAAACACTGGAGGACTTGCACTCAGACACACCAAACCAACTGGTGTACCATTAAAATTCAAACAGGGCAAACCAAGGGTATGGAGAGTGATGCACAATGATTGATGTGTTTGGCCATGAAATAAAATAATCGAAGATTATTCTTTTCCATTACACAGGATGCAACATTTTCCTAGATAGTTTGTTGATTAATGAAGCCCTTTGTGCTGGTTGAAGAAAGACAAAAACATGGTGACCTCTGCATGAATAAACATGTATCACCTTGAATTAGCTCCAAGCAGCATTTTGTGTGGGTCCGTGTGTGTGTGCGTGCGTGAAGCGCTAAAATTAAATCACTGAGACAAATGCTGTTTTCAGGGTTGCAATGAGATGTAGGTGTGGATCACAACTAAAGTGTTTCATCTGGAAAACATGCACTTTCTTCAACTGCGCCTTTTGTGTTTGAATAATACTCTTAATTTTATACCACAATACAATTAAATAATGTATTTAAATCCTGGGCTGCAAACAAATATTGTTTAATCTGCCATTTATTTTCTCAATTAATGGTTTTGTCTATTAAACAACCGATAATATTAAAAAATGCAATTCCAGAGCCCTGGCATATATTCAGATGTCTAGTTTGGTCAGCTTACGCCGTATATGGTGAGCAAAAGTTTATAATCCTTCGAGAAAATTGACCAGCAAATATTTTCCATATTTGATTTAAAACCAGCAGAAACGCTCAATAGTTAATAGTTCAGTCAACTAATCGATTGTTTGACCAATTGTTTCAGCTCCAAATCAGAGTATGTGATAGATGAGCAGTGTCACAGGCAAAATTAGGGCTGCAGTCATTGGCTGTATATAATTAGTGGACGGAACTTCAGGATCTGGGAAGTGAAGTACTACACAAACCAATGGCTGACGTCACAATAAGTTCATACTTGGCTGCTATTAACAATCATTTTCATTCTTGATTTATTTGTTTTCGTTTTTACGAGTAATTGTTTAGTCTACAATATGAAGGAAAATAGTTAAGATCAAAGTTAATAAAGTCCAAGGTGACACCTTTAAATAGCTTGTTTTGTCTTTAAACCACAGCACCCCTCCATGTGCGCCCACCATCTACGTCAGTGAAAACAACCTTTTTTGAAATTTTAAAATACACTCTTGATTAATTTCTATCTACTAATGAATTATTAGACTCATTATTTTATTACCATTCCAAACGCAGGCCTACATGAACAGTAAGAAAACCACATCTTTTTAATAACGATAATTATGGACTAATCCCATAATTATTTTCTTATGAGTATAATTAAAACCAAATATGGCCACCACATGAATTAATAAACAAACAACAAGCAGGAATTACATTTTAATTATTTTACACCCTGTCTGAAATATTGACTCATTAGCAAAATATATTTTAGTCAAATCTTAGTTTACTTTGCTCTAAAATGTGAATGTGTCGCAGATAAAAAACGTAAATGTGTGTGTACAGTAAATAACCCGAGCCACTGGGACAAGCTGAGTGAAGACCGTCCAGGATCCTCGGTGTGCATGTGTTTATCTGTTGGTTTGTGTCAGTTACAGGCAGGACCCCTGCTGAGAGCAAAGATGTTGTAAACGAGGCAGCACCGATAATGTATTGCAGCGGGTGTCATTGGATGTGTCCCTTTGAGAATACACATAAAACACACACACACACAAATGTCAGGGCACAGAGGCAGGTGTGAGGACTGAAAAACTAATATAACACAGCAGTGAACATATGTGAACATGCTATACACACACATACAGTAGAGTACATGCTGCCATTATATACACAGTGGGTAGGAGACATAGATAATACACACACACACACTTTTATAGCAGGCAGTATTTGTCTGATAAGAAAGGTCACTTTTGTCATTTTGAAAGCACACAAACCACTACAGGCTCCACTTTTAAAGCTTTACCAGAGAGGAAAAAGAGGGCAGCCGTGCCTCTGGACACCTCGCTCAGGCAGTCATAATTACAGAACAAATCACACTGCTCTTTTCCCTCCGTGTTATTTGAAATAGTGGATTAAGAGCAAAAAAAAAAAAAAAATAGAGCAGCTTGGCCATCTGTGTTTGCAGGAGTGTGTGTGTGTGTGTGTCTGTGTATGTGTGTGTCTGTCTGCTTCCTTATCTCATCTGAACCATCCACCTCTCACACAGCTCCCAGTCGGTCTTTTACTCTCCAAGCCATAGAGGTCGGCTCAGGGCCCTGAAACTGGGTCATCTGGGTGTTGGTTTAAAAAAAAAAAAAGGAAAAAAGGCTGGACACTGGCTGCAAAGCTGCCTGGACCACGCGCAGGTAGGGGAGGAAGGGATGGAGCAATTGATGGGGCCGAGGAGAGTCACGAGTGGAAAGGTCAGGACAGAACAGCGCAGCCCCGTTGCTGGGGGAGATATTTTTGGACAGCACGCCGGGGTCGCAGAGCCAGACTGTCAGCCTCTGCTCTGCCGTGGCCAAGGCGGAGGCCAGAGAGCCTCAAGGTCACGCCCCGCACCTCTTCTGCTGACAGAAATAGGGAGGGAGAGAGGGATGGCGGCAGGAAGGAGGGGTGAAAAAGGTCACAAGAACCTGGATGTCATGCTGCTGTTACAGGTCTAAATAAAACTCACTTCGTTCTTCTTGAGCGTGGATGGGTGCACACACACACACGCACACACACTCCGTGCAGGGCGGCTTTCAGGTCAAGATGGAACAAGAAAGGGCTGCTGGGTACGCACTCTCATTTCTGAGGCGAGTGACAGTTCAGGAGTGTCACCTGTCCACAGGGGCATGTGATGTGAAATGTGATATCAGTGCCGATGCCGACCCACATGGGCCGAGAGCTGCTCAAGTAACAGATATCAGGTGGACAGGAAGTTTCAAAACCCACAAACTAGAGTGCGACAGCACTTAAATTCAATGTTTATAATTAGTTCCGCTCGATTTTACCTATTTATTTGTTTCACAGCTCTTACTTCCATTGATACTATCTCAGGTAATTAATTGTTTTAAAAAAAATAACCGAAAAATATTGAAGTTGCCCCACCAAAGAGCCGCTTGCTGAATTGTAATGTAACTCTGCATTTTTCTCAGTCAAGAAATGAGATATGAGGTTTCTACCCCCCCAGGCCAGCACCAAGCCTCAGAACATTTGTTAATCGGCTGCAAAGAAAAAATATAATGCTGCATAAAAGCTGAATAATAATTATTTTAGTGCTTTGGCTATTATAGCTTTTTTGCTCTAATTACCTTGAGCTTGGTTCAATCTGTGCTGCATTATTCTTTATCATTACCCATTATAGAGCCGTGAATGCGATACATTCTTAATAAAATCTGTTAATATTTTAACAACGGTCTGATAGTCGAATTGTTAAGGCAAATACCGTGTAACCACAATGTCCTGCTTCAGTTCCCGCCAGAGACCTTCACTGCATGTCATACTACTGTGTGTTCGTATTTCCTGTCTATTTGTATCAGCTGTCCACTGAAGGCAAAAGTGCATCTGGATTTTTAATTTAGTATGTAATCACAAGAAAATGCACACCACATAAAGTTCATTTTCATTTTGATGTTCTCTTTCATACATTCTCTTTTCTCTCTCTCTCTTTCAATTGTCACACACACTGATTTCTACCTGAAGTAAACAAATGACAAAAAGAGGAAATGTGTTTGTTTAAACATTTTATTGCTATGTAAAATTAAAAATCTCATACCTCTGATGAAAAAGTACTACTCTTAAATAACACAAATAAAATCAGGCAAAATAAAAATATTTGGCATTGTGAATTGATGTTCAGTGTATGGGGAGAGTTCAATTTGAGCAGATTTAGCACAGTCAGAATTAATGTTATAAAATGCACACTGTACTGTACTGCACAGGCTGCTCACAGACTACCATCTTTAAGAGTCTACTCACTGTATCATCTCATGGGGTAGCACACAGAGCCAAGAAAACTACTAAACATATAACACTGCATTTCTCCCTATCAACATTTAATACTGTATTTAACTGAGGTCCTACAGTAGTTTCATGGCATATTAACCTTAAATAAAAACCCAACTGAACACATGAAGTAGATGTGCTTATTATTGGCACATCCATGATATCCCCGGCACTTGTACCTAAAGTGCGGTGGCGAAAAAGGCAGCAGCTGCTCGTCCCAGGCAAACCTCCACTGTTGCAGTTTTGCACATTTGAGCCGAGTCACTCAACGTGCTGCAAACTCTCTTAGCAATGCAACCAGAGACGTGCACGAACATTTTGAGGGGCTGTTACCTAACCTGAAAAAAAAAAAAAACCTCCCTATATGTTAGCTAGCTAAGATTGGTTTATGTGAGGAAATTATATAAGGCAATGTTGCAAACGTGACGAGGTGCACGTTGTCTGGAAGAATATGTGGATGTTTTTGTTTACAGGCCATTCCATTGGTTATACTATTCATCGGTAATCATTTCCACTCACACAAAGGGCAACACTACTAAATTCGATACTACATTGTCACATGACGGGTCAGTGGGCATCGCATAGGGCCACCACATCTCTGTGTCCCGCTGAGACATGCATCAAAAAGTAATGGATGATATGGTGATTTCATTAGGTCTAACTTTAGCAATTACATTATTATTCTTATTGTTTCCCTCTTTGACAGCTCAGCCAAACAGAGCAAATGAGCCGTTTCTCTGGCAACGTCAGCCCGACCTTGTGCACGTCCTTGGATGCAACACTTAATGTAATTATCCTGAACTCATCCATACTTCAGACGACAAATCTACAAGTGTCTCCTCCGGAGTGCAGCCGATACAAAGACACAATAATTAATGACAACACAAAACTTCAAGTATGTTCCAAACGCAGTTCCTCTGTCCTAACCACTACATCTGGGTGAGGGACTAAAATCTAAGCATGCAAACACTACTTTTAATGTGCACCCACTTTCTCTTTCTGTGACAAACTGCCAAGTGCATATTAGGAGCTGGGTGCTCTCTGAGACTGAAGTTTGGCTCTTTATGCTGTGGCATCAAAGTCAGCTCATTCTCTACAAGGCAAAGAGGCTTGGCTTTACTACACTGACATTCTAAACATTGTGTTGCTTAATAGTGCTGCACTTAATATCACACAGGTAAAACATGAAGCATTAGCATTCAAAAGTGAAACATTTTGAGTTTTCTGGGCACCACCTCTCTTCAGTAAAAACTAGAACATAAAGTGACTGTTAAAACATTTATAAACATAAAGCCTCTGATATAAGTTATGAAATAATTTAAATTCAGAAATAAAATAACTGATTACAGCCAGCAAAAATAAGCTTTTTGTTGTTGTTGTTTTTTACATCCGCTTTCTCAAACAAGGGATAGCTTTGTTAATATCATTCCATATCTGCATTCTGCATCAGCATTCACTGCATTCATCATTGAATACCATACAAAATAAGTAAGTACATAAATAAATAATCCTTGCATTGTTTAGTGTGTGTTAATCTTTCCTTTTACAGTACCATGACTTGTAACTGTACAGTGAGTAGGTATAATACAGCAATTACAATGAGAAAAGAGGGGTGAACCCATTGTCTGGTGTTACTGGGGCTAAAGATGAGGGTCGAGGGTGTAGGTGGTCTGCTGGTCTAGGCAGGTCCAAACTAGTCTAAACTGAACAAGGCCCTTTAGCAGTCCCAAATCACCTGGCCTTTCTTTGTTGGTCTTCCACAGGGGGGGTTTGGCCAAGGATGAGGCTCCATACGGTGTCCAGAGCTGCTCCAAATTAAGATCCATACTGGACTTGCTGAGATCGGAGTTTGGCTGGGAGAGAGTCAGGGGAGGGGAGGTGTTGAGGTCAAAAGGCGAGGTGTCAGAAGCCAGGGTTGCCACGGTGACCTCAGAAGTGGCCCATTCTGGCGGCGAAAAGGCTGCGTGAGCGTGGCATGGCCGAGGAGATGCGGCCAAAGCTGGACGAAGGCCACTTCATGATGAACTGGGAGGTCACTGGCAGCAGATACCTGGACAGACGGACAAGAGCGAGGGACGGAGGGATTAGGGGAAAGGATGAACATAATGAGAGGATTAGATATGCAAAGGTCACAATTTAGAGGTCAGGGCGCATTAGTGCTCAGCACTGAGACCACATATTGCCCACTTTTCATATATTGACTCTACCATTTATGGCCGTCTCCGTTTGCACATTTCAACTTTAATAATGGCCCGGTGATTTCAAAATATGACATCACCCTTCCCTTGAAAACGAGAAAAAAAAGAAAGAAAAAGGCTGTGGCTTAAATTGTGAGATCCATATGATTTGGGGTCTTTTGTGTAGGGCTGCAACTAAGGGTTATTTTCATTAGCGATTAATATGCAGATATATAATATTCAAGATGCTTGAAAATAATTTTAAAAAATGTTATAACGACCAACACCAACTGTACAAAAATTATAGTTTACTATCCCGAAGAAAAGCATAAAATCCTCTTATTTGAGAAGCTGGAAACAGCAAATGGTTTGCATCTTTGCTTAAACGAATGACTCAGTTATTAGAATAGATAGTAATTCCTTTTCTGTCGACTGATTAATCGTTGCAGCTCCAGTTTTGTGTAATGTCCCAAATCTATGAGGTTGCAGTATTTATATATCTTCTTGTAAAGTAAGAAATTATGGGCCTTATACTGACAGAAGCAGAACTTTTTTCTATCTTTAAGGACAACTTAATTTTTCAACTTTAACCCTTAAATCTTTGGTATCATGAACATAAAATCCTCACCTATCATTCCGAGGCATAGACGTCAGTACCTTTCTAAGACTTTTCTATGACACCTTCCACCGAGACAGAGCAGTGAGGCAGCTCCTGCTAACAGCGTTCCAGTACCTGAGAATGAGACCAGCGTCAGGTTGAGATAGAGTCAGGAGGGGCTGAACCCTGCTCCCATCTTCCTTAGTTACTGGAAATGAGTCAGATATGGTTGTCAGAGCAATGTCAGATGAGATGATCAAATCCTGGACAAGGTTAACTGAAGGTTATGCAAATGTCGGGGGTACTGTTCAGAAGACATGAGACAGGGGAAGTTTGAATTCTTCCAGACTGATCAGTTGGAAGAATGACTTACATTTATGGGCTTTCGCGACACACTTGTCATATTGTGATATTATACATTATGTGACCATCTCGCCACATCGGCAGCAAGGATCTTTAGCTAATAAAAAATACATCTAATACTCGTTTAGTTAAACGAGTACAATGGTCAAAAGAAATAGTCCCTGTGGAAGTGTTTAAGATGTGACAATCTAATCAAAAGGGAGCCACTGGGGCTGAGGATTACAGAGTGAAGAAATAATATCTTCTTTTAAGCTGGTGCAGAGATAGCATACTTTTTTTTCTTTGACAGCTCTCTCTCTCCTTGTGAAATAGCTCTTGGACAAATTAGCTGAGCAGCTTCTTCTAAAGTCGACCGGAAAAGAGAGGGAAAAAAAGCGCATGTCGCTGAGGGCGTCCACTTCAACACAGCCCCAGACCCAGGAGAGTTAGGAGGGATTCAAATTAACTTCATTTAGTCCAACGAGAGTGTCCTTGAAACAGCTTCAAGTGGGCCGTAGGTATCCCTCCAGCACATCTTCTTCGGCTCTGACTGGACTTGGTGAGGGCTCAGTCCGGCACTCCTTCTTAAACTCCTTCAGTCAAACCCCAGAGAACAGGTGCTTTGCTCTAAGCATTTCACATTTGCTTCTGTTAGGTAGTGCTCTCTTTCAAGTGACATTCAGTGATTTCATACCATGATATTGTGTCAGCCTTGGATTCATGTCTTTTACACGTCTTATTCGTTCTCCCCCACAATCCCACTCAGCACCTTATTCCATCACCTTCTTCTGTGATCACCTTCTTCTATAAAATTCACCATACATCCATTGGTATTCTGCTCATGGATTTGTGGTGCAATTTCTCCTTTCTCCCCTCCATTTCCATAAGGTTTACACTGAAACCCAAAGCCCAAGCATGGAAATGGCAGAAAAAAAAAAAAAGAAAATCAAATATTGAACATTCTTCAGGGGCCGAGTGTGTGTTCTTCAGAGATCCTCTGCTATTCACTTTGAGAATATTCTGCACATAGAAAGAATCACGGTGGTGGTACTGGCAAGGGGTGGAGTAGGGGGGCTTCTTACGTCCAAGCGGCCGCTGTCTCTGCAGGCTATATTTAATTGGACCCTCATTCGGCATCTTCCAGGTTCGTCCTCCTTTTGATCATGAAGAAGGTCTTGGCAACAGCGTGCATGCTTTAAAGCCAGGGGGAGGCTTGTTCGTGCACTTGTGCTTTGCTTCAATCCATCAATTGACGGGGAGACAGAGATACTCCTGCTCCGTTCCTTACATGCAAAGCTACAATCTACCACTGTTCCTACTGACAGGACTTTCATACTACTCTTAAGTCCTCCATTGAGATGCAACTGCCACAGCGAATTACGAGCAGGCCAGGCAAGACGAACTGCCATGACTAAGGATGGAGGGGAAGACTGCCACGATAGCTGACGCAATCGTAAACCAAGAGGTACAAAGAGGCTTGAAGGTTATCTGCAGCCCACATTCCGCTCAACACCCCAATTAACCCTAATTACTGCCACACTTTTCAGACAGATGAAAGTTAATAGAATCTGAAACTTTTGTCATCATGGGAAAATTGTCTTTGGGTAGTGACAGTAATTTCAGGCTTAACAAGAAAGTCATTAGTAGAGCTATTTGGCTACTTCCTCTCATCTGCCCACACAGACTGAAGGACTTTTCGAAGACCCATGAGGCTGTTGACACACCTGATCAGGGCACTCCACAGAGGAAGGATGCTTCAACAGGAGTGGGCAGGTGTGGTCAACAACGGAGACCCCAAAGACCCCAGCTAACAGACCCACTTTGACGTGTGCCAAAGGCTGCCAAGAGCTCCGCGAGTGTATGTGTTATGTATGTGTGTGTGCATGCACAAAAGACAGTGTGGAGCCAATTTGGCCGGCATATAGGATCTTTGATTTCAGTGTATGAAATGGTTTTCATTTTTTAATGTTTGATTACAGATTTAACTGTAAAAGGTGAATGGAAATGGTGAAACTTGATTGAAAAATTCCTCAATCTCAGTGTCATTCAGTGTCTGTCCACTTCAGCCTTTGAGAAATGTCACACATGTTTGAAGAATGGTTGTTCTTAATCATGGTCACTAGCTTGCGCATTAGGATATTTCACATTTCTTAGTTCAAAACAACTCATCTAATAGGAATCAGTTCTTGATCCACTACTTCTTTGGTGTTTTTCTCTTATAGTGTAGTTCAGTAAAGTTGTTAAACCTACTTATATTTTATTCTTAATTAATAAATTAAAGGATAGTTTCACATTTATTTCAAGCATGTCTCAAAACATTACTCACATGCCTGTATGTACATTGAAGGTGGCTGGTTGCAGTAATTATTACTGTATTATTACAATTCTAATACAAGAGATGGGAGACGAAATCCACAATCCTCTTGCCGTGCAAAAATGTATTATAATGGCATTATGTAGCTTCAGCAGTCTGAATTGGCAATTCAAGTGGGTATCTTTTAAGCTAGTCTTTTTGCTACAAAATTCCCTCTTTGTGCTTCCCTAGACAGTAAGAATATTTTTTTTTGGGAACAAAGACTGTGGATTTTGTCCCCAATCTCTCTCTCTAGAAGTGTTATAAAGGGATCTCTTCACCACCAGTATGGACAACCAGAAAACTGTTTCAATGTAAATATGGGCATGTTTCCAAACAAACTTAAAAAAACCTATCCTTTAAATTTACTTGTTGGACGTAAACACAGCTCGAGAGAAATAATTTGAGGTTAGCTGAGTGGGAAACACTGAAGAGGGACGGGTGATCGTTACATAACAGTAGCAAGACATGTGCATGCACACGCGCACACACACACATACACACACCCTCGTACATACACAATTTACCCTCTCATATAAAGCTTATGCATCAATGAGAAATCCTAATAATCCTAATTGCTTCTCAGCTATCTGAAGTGGAGGCGAGTTGCGACTGTTCCCTGCATGCCTGATGGAGAGATGCGAACCGTTTGTGTTGTGAAACTGCAGACCACACGATGCAAAGCCGAGCCATTTTCTGTCTTCTTGAGACAAGAAGAGAGCGGTGCTCAGGTTGATCATGGTACTGATGCGGTGCAGGTGAGGCGTTTGGTTTCCACTGAGGCCACTCGTACTGAAAATGCACTCAGGGTAAGATGCTCTTGAGCAAAAGCATTGAGTAAAAGCCATAGTTTAGCATGTGGCAGCAAGGTGATTGGCTGGTGATGTGTACAACAAGCTGGTTGCAAATGGTTGCAGTGTTGACAAACAGTGCCCCAAACAGTCTGAATATGCTTCCTTCTCCTATCTCCTTCCTTCCCAATACATTGTTCCCAGTTTTGGGCTACAAACAATCAAACAATCAGTTAATTTGAAACACATCCCATTCTTGTGTTGTATAACTCACTTATTCATCACTTATTTGAGTATTAGTGAGGGAAAGGACAGGAGACCATGCTAGACTGTTGGTTGAGCAGCCAAAAGCAACCATTATTGGGCACGTGGGGACCAAGCCTTGGTTAAAGCTGTGAGGTGGTGGGAACTGCGGAAAGCAGGGAACAGAGACGGTACTGGAGGATGGGGGGGGGGGG